AACTTTTGTAAAGCAACTTCGTCCGAATCATTCGTTTAGAGATCAAATTGATCTCCAAATACAAGTTCATCTCTTTCCTAACTCATTCCCATTTTTTTTAATTTCGATGGATTAAACCCTAAATTAATGAATAGAACTTTAGATCCAATCACTAAACAAAGAAAAGACATGATCTTGATGACTAGAACTCTAAATTTTTTCTAATTGATGAATTGATTAGGATTAGAACCCTAATTAATCAAGTCAAATTTGATTAGTGATGTTTAGGAAAATTGGATCCCAAAACCATGATTTTATTTGATGTATACTTGTTTGTCCAAGCCCAACTTAAGTTAATGCTAGATTTAAAACATGATTCACACTCCAAGTTGATATTTTACAAGTTTTTGAGAAAATCAATTAACTTTAGAAAACTGTCGATTCTTGTTTCAGCGTTCGCGTCAGTCGACTGACCCCATTGATCAGTCGACCAATTGGCTCTCAGGATTTTGTTTTGATCCTCTCGGATCGGTCGACTAATAGATCATCAGTCGACCGATTAAGACTTATTAATTGTGTATGCTCACTGTTCGGTCGACTGATGGGATATCAGTTGACTGATTGAGTGTCGGTCAACTGATTCCCAAGGGCCAGTCGACTGATTTAGTGATGTTTTTGCGTGTGTTGATCTTCCACGTATGTTTGGTCACTTACACAATGTATGGGCCGCACGTCGATACACGTGCGTGGCCATGGGAGTGTACGTATTGGGTTTGGTACGTACAGACCCTCGAGAGTGCGTAGCCCATGTGTTAAGCTTGTCGCGAAATGAGGGCGACAACTATCGAGTTGCATATGTCAGTGTCGTATGTCTGCATGGATGGCCGGGATAGGTAGTGAACCGCATGATATTGCAATGAGCCGCGGGATACTGCGAATACCTATGCTCCGTATCATACTTCTGCATAGATGTCTGAGTTAGGTTGTAAGCCGCATGATATTGAAATGAGCCACAGGACACTGTGAGCACAGAGACTCCACATCTCTTTTATTTGTATTGTCCGGATTAGGCTGATATGCCTATACTTCGCTTGGTGTCCGAGTTAGGTAGTGAGCCGCACGATATTATGATGGACCACGTGATACTGTGAGCACCTATACTCCACACCATATTCATTGAAGAGGATTACACAGGATTGTGTATTTTCTCCCGTACCACCTACCCTGAGGGTAGTGTGAAATACTATATTTTGGCATGCACGACATGTCCTGGATGAGGTGTTGGTGATGTACTTCTTTATTGCTTGTTTATAGGATTTTGGAAGTTGATTTTTAGCGATTCACAATTTGAGATATATGGTATATACGAGGGTTTCATTGTTTGGATTATTCACTCGATGTACTCATCTCGTATTGTGGGTTCCTAAATCCTAACTCCTCTTAGTACAGTGTATATGATTTTTTTAATATACATGCTATATGTAACACTTCTATTATACTCGCTACCCCTTCCCCCTGGGGGGCAGTGGAGATGTTTTTGCTAGCGCTCTGATGCTCGTTGTAATCACCTCTTTTTAGGTAGCTAGTCGGGGACTCGGAGAACCGCAGGTTGACGGGGATTCAGCATAGTTCACCGTCATTCATCATAGGTACTTAGAGCTCCACAATGGACTCATTTATGTTTTTTTTTGTCTTTTGAAGATGTACTTTATTTTAGGTCCGAGTGCCTGAGTACTGTTCAGTTTACTCTTATATTTTAGAGACTCGTTGTACTTGTGTCAGTGGATGTGGATCTGTCAGCTATGTATCTTTCTTCCCTGTTGGGACACTCATTTATGATGTTATCTATTTCTTATCCACATGTTATTTCTTATATTCATCTGTAATGTATTTAGGAATCATCGACGATTATATGTGTGGATGACTTTTCCGTTGAGTATCCCATACCATTATTATATCTGCTTCTACTCTTCGCTTTAGTAGTTCTAGAGGTACCTTGTTTGATTTTTTTAGATTTCAGGGGCTTCCTTATTACCACATTTTGTTTCTGCTAGAGTGATAGCAATAGTAACAGTGAAACATGTTTATACACAGTGGAGGGTGCATAGTAGGTTTGACATCTCTGGGTTCACCTTGCACTGTAGCCATGTGTGAAAACAGGGGCGTCACAAAAATGAAGACCATCGTCATCAATAGAACAAAGTTTAAGAAGATTAATAAAAGGGTATTAAGAATAATACCTTATTTCAAATCTTTGATAAGAATAAACGATGTTTTTAAACATAGGAATTGATTGCAAACATGAACATCAAAAAGCTTACATTCAACTCTGAGATTTTGACCATTTGCAGAGTTAATAACATGAGTTGTTTTTTCAACATATTAGAAGGGAATAAAACCTTCTCTAATACAATTAAGATCTGCTCCCATATGAATCACCACATTATTTTTTTGGTTTCCTATGAGGTATCCCCACACCTTATTATGGATGGGACTAATCTCTGCTCGTGTTTTTTACCTGTTGGGGATTTGAACACGAAACTAGCCCGCTATAGGCCGTCCCCCACCAAGAGTTCAGCGTGACCATATACTGATGTTTTAACCCTATGGCTTTCTATCAATGCATTATGATAAATAGTAAAATTAGACTAAATATTAAGAGTAATATTACATTTATATTTTTGTTTAATATATTTCTCTACAATGTTGATTGATTTATTGAAATATTCTATAGAATTTGGTTGCGATTTCAAGATTTGTATTTCTTGCTTAAGATTCTTAGTCTCAAAATTTTTACTTCTCTTTGTTACTTTTTGAGATCTTCAACAAATGACTTTTTGTTATTGTGTATTTTGTTTATTAGTTTAAAAGAAGTGTAGTGCTTGGAGTTGTTTTATTTCTTTTTAGTCATCTCGAGGTATTTAGTTAATTGTACTCTTTTTTCTTGTGCATCTGCAATAGCATCGATAGTGTTAAGAATAAATTGTTCATGTTCATCTAAAGTATTTAATTCAGAAGAACTATTAGAAGACTCCAATGATGATTCAAATTTTTTTTATAACAAGTGCAAAGATTATCTCACTAGATGAACTATTATTATTTTTAATGTTTAAAGCATTAATAAGTTTATTAATTTTTTTCTTCTATAAAGTCTTTAGATTCTAATATTAGCCTGTTCGTTAACTTTCTTTTTCAAATTCTTTTGAAAACATTTATTAGCATGAAGTCCATTTTTTTGTTACACTTGTAACCTGTAGGAATTTTTGTATTATTATTGTTGTTGTTTTTCGAAAATTTCATTTCCAAAGATTTTTCTTCTGTATTATTTTGTGTTTTTCTGTAACCTCTAATTCTTAGGTTTTTCATTTGAAGACCGAGTTGTTAACAAAAATCTCTTAATTACTTTTTATCTGTAAGCTCTGATTTTCTACCGTGTTTCTAATTTTAACATCATTACAAAGCCTTAAGCAAATGGTATTGACTCCTTAGATTAATTCTTCAAAAGGGATTTGATCATAAATTATTTGATCATTATATTGTTCTTTAATGATTTCTCTCACTTTTTCGGCAAATAAAGATGGAAGGCCAGAGACAAAATTTTCTTTCCAAATGGGATTATTGCAATCATGTAATTGTTAAATTTTAGAAAAAAAAATATTTTTATACCATATAAAGTTTGTAAAGGTTTTATACTAAAATTTATAATTTGTTCTTTAACTTTATCTTGAACAGTAACAGAAGCCAAGTGAGGAGAATAAGTGAGAAATTGTGAGCTAAATCAACAAAATGATGATAAACAGAAATGAGCAAGGTATAGATTGCATCACTAAGATAATTTCCTTTTTTGTCAAGAATTGGTTCTCCAAATTGATTTTCATTATGCTATTTAGAATGTTATTCCATTCAGTTTCAGTGAGATAACGATCCCACTACCCTTGTAATTGACCAGAAAAAGATAAACACAAGCCACTGGCAATGTTCTTTTCAGGATTACCTTGTTGTCTACAGGTGTTGTCATAAATAATCATTTATTATAAAAGATGTATTATTTGGTATTCAGTATAACCATCACGATTCCACTCAACAAGAGAATTACCATCAAAATTTGTCTTGTGATAATTATTAATTTTTTTCAAATTGCATATCTACAGGAGTAAGTCCCTATAATAATTTTTTGTGTTATTTGAATAGTAAGAATATTTTTTAATACTCTAAATTTGTAGAGGTTTTCCAAAATCATATTCTGATTTATAGTCAGGTATGTCATCAAATTGAGACTCGAGGTTTGACAAAACATTGATGGCTGGAGATTTATTTAGAGACATCTTTTAACCTTTTAGTTAGTTCTTCAATAGGATTATTCATTTTCTCACCGAGTTTAAAATGTTTGTTATTTGGTAATTTGATATTCTCAATGAAAGTTTGAGGGGTAAATGGTGGTATGGATATCTGGCTGATAATAGGTTTTTTTTAATATCTATGAGCATGTTTTCAATCCTATCTATTTTTTTGCCTCCTGTTTGAATGTGAATGTTGGTAAGATTATTCTGTTCAGTCACAAGAGTAACATGATCTTGTCAGGCCAAGCTACTAGAAGATTTAGGAGTTTTGATAGCAGTTGTTTTAATTTTTCTTTTCTAATTTTTATTGGTTTTTCCGATTTTTATTGGTTCAAAAGGTGGATGTAAAGATTCTATTTCTTTTTCTTTATCTGTTTTCCACGTGTTGGAAACTTTTTTAGCACATAAGCATGATTTTCAAGGGGTCAATGTTTAAGGGAATTTTTTTTAGTTCTTCAAGATAAATAACTTCATACCATAAGGAAAAGGGTATATTTCGTCCAATAGTACTATATATACACACAAAACCCACGCATCAGCGGCCGCCTAAATTTTCTATACATTCACTTTTAGTTGCCAAACAAAATTTGTAAATAGAAAGTACAGATAGAGTACTTTCTCTAGAAAGTACTTCCTCCCCGCTTTCTATTTTCATTTACTTTTCGGTCAGCCAAACAACCCTTTAGGTGCAGCTCTAACTTTATTATTCAGAGGTTAGAACATAGTTCCAACTATAAAATGTAGTGGCAAAAAGGACCAGCAAGTTTTTGGTTTTTGCTGCATTTGGTGTGACACGCACAAGATTTTCTTGATACTCAGTTCTGTAGAGGGTACAAGGTATATACACATATGAAGCAAACCAAACCTCACATCCTTTGACAGATAAACCAATATTCATAAATCAAAAGACACCGAGCTATAGGTTATAGTCAGCCTACATTATCTTCTCGAGCAGATTCATTTTCTTGTTCCTCATGTTCCCCATCCATGTGAGCTGCTGCTGCTTCTCCTTCTCCTCCTCCTACCATTGTTTCGTCTTCTGCATTAGCATACACTTGCGAGCTCACTACTTGGCCATACAAATCTTTATGTTTCAAATTACCTGCAGACCGAGGAGATATTTATTGTTAACAACAGTACACTACTGTTTTGAGGAGATTAACGAGTTTAGTAGTAATGGAGCAAAACAACGACGACAACACAGCTTTTATCCCCAATTTTAGGGTTGGCTAAATGAATCCTACTCTTCCACTCAACTTTATTGAGAGAAATCTCCCCTCCATTAAATTATAATCATTAACTATATATCGTTTCAACAGTTATGACCAAATTATCTTAGGCCTACCTCTGATTCTTTCTTTTATAATCTTACCATTTATTCTAATTGTTGGATTTAATGACCTTGATTGAACTTGACAAAACCATAATGAAAGATTCTCTCATTTTGTCCTTGACGGGATCAACCTCTAGCGTCATATGGATGCACACATTTCTTACCCTATCTTTTAGTGACTAGTCCATAACCAGTCCTCCATCATACTCAATTCTTGCATTGTAACAAGTTGTTATTAATTCCACAACAAATCCATAAAGCATTGTGTTCTTAGTAGTGTGGGAACTCACCCATCCAAAATGTACATCCATTTGATGTGCTATGAAGAAGAGCCTTAACGTGGAATAAGAATCGTTCCATCGATCTTTTAGTTGCAGGGATCTTGCTGGTGACCATTGTTCGTTTCAAACCCTTAAGATAAATATACACAATTAGGCAAAGGGAAAGTAGCGCATTAGATTGATTGAAACAAGCTAGTAAGACAAGCAGTACCTTAGCCTCAGAACAAAGGGCTTGTATGATTCTTGTTGCCTTTTGGAGCTCTTTGACCTACAATAGCAAATAAGGGTTTAGTTCACACCTTTCTTCGTTAGTGAATATTTCTTTTTATCTTGTTTTTGCAAAAGAAAAAAAAATGAAAAAGGAATCACACTGTTTTCCAATTGATTTTTGTATCAAACGAAACTAAGACAGGATTATTTCATTCCCTTTGCTACAAACTGAACCTTGACGGAAAATGAAGGCAGAACTTACCAATTGGATGATAATGTCATTATGAGCCTGGAAATGGACTTCTAGGAAGTTGAAAGCTGCGAAAATTTTCTTGTTAGAAGACTACAGTTGGTTGTGGATATTGAAATTTGAGACAGTTGCACTTTCACAAAATTATCCAACTTTTGCAGAGAAACAACTTGAATTTAGACCTTACCTTTTAAGAGAGTACCAACAAACTTGCCGCCGTATTTGACTGCCATAGCATGCATAGCTACCTGCTTGTCACAAAGAAATGTTAGCAAGACTTACTTTGTGATCTATTTCTTTCAATGCTTTTAAACTCGATTTATGAAAGATACACTACCAATTCCAGATATTATAATACATGAAGAAACAAAGCAGATTTACTGTGAAGAAGAAATCAGCCGATATAGTGGTTTGTTCCTCATGTTGAGATTAAACAAAATGAAGTGGTAATTAGGTACTGATTTAATGGTTCAGGGGGTAAAAAGGACGAATTTAATAGTTTAGGGGTGCAAGGTGAGACAAAAAATAATTCAGGAGGCAAGCGTTAAACTAATTCAATAGTTTAGGGGGCATGTAGAGACTAAAAATAGTTCGGGGGTAGAAGGGACAACACAAATAGTTTAGGGGGCAAATACGGTCTGAAGCCAAATAAATATTCAAATCCTAGTATTACTGTAATGATACACCAAGACAAATGATCACAAGATGATGGAGATCTTGTGTAACAAATATTCAAATCACAGTATTGTAATAATACAACAAGAGAAATGATCACAAGATGATAGCAATCTTGTGATTTCGTTAATGTTTTACAGTGTGTTGCTATTTGTTGGCCCAAAGCTTCTGGCCCGTTACCAAAAGGCCCATTTCCCTTGTGTTTATTTGATGTGCCCTAGCCTTTATCTGATGTGCCCTAGCCCCTCTATTTTTTTCTCCTACCCGATGGTTCTCACCTCCCAGTTTTCGTGATCTGATGGCCGCCACTTGTGAGCTCCCATCCGTAGGTCGGCTCCCTCCTTCGTTTTCTTCCCTAGCTCCTCTCCCGTGTCAGCTGCCCCCTTCCCTATATATGGGTAATGGGTTGGTAGTAGCTCTGTAGAGGGACGAAGAGGAAGAAGATCTGAGCTTGAGCTCTCCTCTGATTTGTGTGATCTCTCTCTTTCTGTGAGTTTTGTGCTCTTGTGGGCTTTGTGCTCTCTACCCCCTTTGTGCGATTTCTTCATCTCTGTGATCGATCAAGGAGCAGATCAGCGGCGAGCTCTCCTTTTGGTCCTTGGTGGTGCACTAGAGAGGAGAACGAGGACTGGTTGAACAGGCTTCTGAGCCAAACAACGCGGTGACTCGTTGTCGCTCAAAACCGCCGGTCGCCGCCGTTGGTCGCCGCCACCAGTCGCCGCCGCCGGACCGCCGCAAGGGTAAGGTCGAAAACCCATCTCAACAGCTGGAAAAATTTTTCCTGTTTGTGTTTCTGCTCGTGCTAGTTGCTGGAAAATTTTTTTTGTTCCTCTTGTTTTTTTCCTTGCTCGTGCTAGTTGCTGTGATACCATTATCTGATTTTTTGTGTGAAAAATGTCTACTGCTAATCAATTTGGTATGGTTCAATATGGTATGGCTCCGTTCAACGGAAAATCTGATTTTAGCATTTGGAAACAAAAAATAAAATGCATCTTAATTCAACAGAAGTCCTTTAGGGCTGTTGGTCAGACTTATTTAACTTCTGACACAGAAAATAAACGGGCGGAAATGAACGAAAATGCTTGTTCCACAATTTATTTGAACTTATCTGACTCTGTGATTAGAAAAGTTGGAATTTTGGACTGTGCTAAAACTCTTTGGGATAAACTTGAAGAACTCTATACTGAAACCTCTTTGCCCAGTAAAATGTTTTTGCTTGAAAATTTTTTCAAATTTAGATTGGATATGTCTAAGGACATTGAGGAGAACCTAGATGTTTTCACAAAACTTATTTCAGATATTAAGTTAACTGGTGATAAACATATAGATGATTATACTCCTATTGCCCTTCTAAATGCTATTCCTGACTCATATAGTGATGTAAAATCTGCTATTAAATATGGTAGAGATGATATTACCCTTGACATTGTGGTTAATGGTCTTAAGAGTAAGGAATTAGATTTAAAACATTCTGGGGGAAATAAAAATTCTGGTGAGGTTATGCATGTGAGGGGAGGGGTAGGTCTCAGAATAGGTCTAATTACCAAAAGAATGCTAGTAATGGGGAATCAAGTAAGAAAAAATTTGAAAATGAAAGGGGCAGATCTAAGTCCAGGTTTAAAGCTAAAAAATGCTATAATTATCATGAAACTGGTCACTTTATTAAAGATTGTCCTAAGCCTAAGAAAAATCAGCAAAATGAACATGCTAATATGGCTGTCTGTGAGGGCAAAATGGGTGAGATTTTCATGATTAATAATCTGTGTGATTATGCATATTTGAACTCTGTGTTATCTGATCCTTTGTGTAAATCAGATTGGTTGGTAGACTCTGGTTGTACTTTTCATATGACTCCTTTTAAAACCTTGTTTTCAAACTACAAGAAAATAGAGAATGGCTTTGTATCAATGGCAAATGAAAAGAAATGCAATGTTTTAGGAACTAGTGATGTATGCCTTAGGTTTTCCTCTGGTTCTGTGTTTACTTTGCAGGATGTTAGGCATGTTCCTGATTTACGTTATAACTTGATTTCTTGTGCATCTCTAGAAAATGATGGTTTGGAGGGAAAATGGGGTAAAGGGGTTATGAAAATTCTGAAAGGGTCTCTTGTTATTTTTACTGCTGAAAAACAAAATAATTTGTATATTTGTCATGTTGAACTTGTGCTTGATTCTGTTAACTCTGTGATAGGTGATAAATCTGTTTTATGGCATAATAGATTAGGTCACATGAGTAATAAAGGATTAGAAATTTTGCATAAAGGAGGTCACTTTGGTAATGATAAAATATCCCCCATCCCTTTCTGTGAATCTTGTGTGCTAGGAAAACAACATAGGGTTACTTTTCCTACTTCTTTTCCTAATCGGTCTAAGTGCACTAGTGTACTTGAATATTTGCATGCTGATGTGTGGGGTCCCTCTAGTGTGCCTACGCATGGAGGGAACCAATATTTTCTTTCCATAATTGATGATTATTCTAGGAAAGTTTGGGTTTTACTCATGAAACAAAAATCTGAAGTTTTTGATAAATTTAAAAACTGGAAAATTATGATTGAAAACCAAACGGGAAAGAAAATAAAAACTCTTAGGACAGACAATGGTCTTGAGTTTTGTAACAAACAATTGAATGATTTGTGTACTACTTGGGGTATTAAAAGGCATAAATCTGTTCCCTGCACACCCCAGCAGAATGGGATTGCTGAAAGGATGAATAGAACTCTCTTAGAGAGGGTGAGGGCTATGTTGGCCACATCTGGGCTCTCCAAGAAGTTCTGGGGAGAAGCTGTTTGTATTGCGGCCTATTTGATTAATAGGTCTCCTTCTGTTCCCTTAGGAGGGAAATGCCCTGAATTTGTGTTCACGATTAATAGGTCTCCTTCTGTTCCCTTAGGAGGGAAATGCCCTGAATTTGTGTTCACAGGCAAACCTCTTAATTTAAATAATTTGAGAATTTTCGGGAGTGCTGGCTATGTGCATCAAAAGATTGATAAGTTAGAACCTAGATCTAAGAAATGTGTTTTCTTAGGATATCCTGAAGGGGTAAAAGGTTATAGGCTTTGGAATAAGAGTGAACGGGGGTTTAAGATAGTAATAAGTAGAGATGTTATTTTTAATGAAAATGAATTTCCTTGTTTACCTTTACATGTCCCTATTCCTGAAAATGATGCTCCAAATGAGGTGGAGTAAATGCCTATTATCAATCAACCTAAATCACCCCCTGAAGAAAAATTGAATGATATAATTATTGAAAATCAAGATGAGATTATTCCAAATGAGGTGGAGCATGAAATGCAGAAAATAGATAACATGCATGATTTGAATGATTATCAACTCACTAGGGATAAAAATAAAAGAACATTAGGAAACCTGAAAGATATAGAGATTGTAAATTGATTGATTGTAATATGTCTGAGTTTGTCTTTAATATGTCTGAGTTTGCCTTTAATGTGTTTGAATCCCTTGAGTGCAATGAACCTAAGACTTATAAAGAAGCATTAAGGTCAAAATATTCTGAAGAATGGATTAGTGCTATGAAGAGTAAGATGGAATCCCTAAGAATTAATCAAACATGGAAACTTGTTCCTAAACCTGCTAGTTGTTCTGTAGTGGACTGTAAGTGGCTGTTTAAGGTAAAACAAGAATCTGAAAGTGTTAGGTTTAAGGCTAGGTTAGTAGCTAAGGGATTTACTCAAAAGGAGGGAATTGATTATGCTGAAATTTTTGCTCCTGTTGTCAAATTTACTATTGTTAGAATTATGCTTGCTTTAGTTGCTCATTTTAATTGGGAATTAAAACAAATGGATGTAACTACTGCTTTCTTGCATGGTGATCTTGATAAAAATATTTATATGCACCAACCTGAGGGTTTTGTGGACCCTAAATTGCCTGATCATGTGTGTTTGTTAAAAAAGGCTTTGTATAGTTTAAAACAATCACCTAGGCAATGGAATATTAGATTTGATAAATGCATGCAATCTTTAAAGTTTAAAAGGAGTTCTGCTGATCATTGCCTGTATTATAAGAATATAGACTCTGTGCCTGTATTTCTTGTAATTTATGTGGATGACATGTTGATTGTTAGTCCTTGTTTGAAGTCTATTGAGCATGTTCAAAAATGTCTTTGTGAAAATTTTGACATGAAAGACTTAGGTGATGCTAAAAGAATCCTAGGCATGAATATTATTAGGAACAAAAACAAATCTACTCTAGTTTTAAACCAAAGTTCATATGTTGAAAAAAATTTGAGTAAATTTGCTATGTCTAATGCCAAATCTGTGAATGTACCTCTTGCTTCTCATTTTATGTTAAATAAGGATCAATCTCCCAATACTGAAACTGAAATAAATGATATGAAGAAGGTGTCATATTCCAATGCTATAGGATCTGTTATGTATCTCATGGTTAGTACTAGGCCTGACATTGCATATGCGGTTAGTTGCTTGAGTAGATATATGTCAAACCCTGGTATGCCTCATTGGAATACCTTGAAGTGGCTTTTAAGATATTTGAAATCCTCTGTGGATGTAGGATTAACCTTTTCTAAGTGTTCTGAAGGTGTTAAACTTGCTGGCTATATAGATTCCAATTATGCCAATGATAGGGATAATAGAAAATCTACCACTTCTTATGTGTTTACTTTGTGTGGCTCTTGCATAAGCTGGAAATCCCAATTACAACCCATTGTTGCTTTATCTACTACTGAATCTGAGTATGTTGCTGCCACTGAAGCTTTTAAAGAAGCTATTTGGCTTAGGGGCCTTATATCTGAAATTGGTTTTCTTGATAAAAATGTGGTTGTATTTTCTGATAGTCAATCTGCTATTCAACTTTGCAAAAATCCTGTTTTTCATGATAGAACTAAACATATTGATGTTAGATTTCATTACATTCGGGATATAGTTGAAAAGGGTATTGTCAAGTTAGAGAAAATTCCCTCAGAATTTAATCCTGCTGACATGGGTACTAAGTGTTTGCCTGCTGAAAAATTTATCTCGTGTCAAAGAATCTTGAATTTTGATTTTGGGTAATTTTCCTTTGATTTGTGTGTTGCCTTTGTGGCCTATTAATTTGCTTTGTGCTTGTTAGTAGCTTTGTGATTTTTTCCCCTTTGAACTCGATGACCGTTTGGTAGAGTTCGGTCCTTTGTGGACTTAGTATGCTTGGTGATTTTACCCTGATCTTTGTGATCTGAGTTTACTTAGTGTATTCTCTTCCATTGCTTGTATCTTCTTTGTGATTATACAGGTAATAATTTGGCGATGATGAGTCCTGCAATTTCGTGTTTTTTCTCTGTGCACTACCTTGGGCCAAAGGTGGAGATTGTTGCTATTTGTTGGCCCAAAGCTTCTGGCCCGTTACCAAAAGGCCCATTTCCCTTGTGTTTATTTGATGTGCCCTAGCCTTTATCTGATGTGCCCTAGCCCCTCTATTTTCTTCTCCTACCCGATGGTTCTCACCTCCCAGTCTTCGTGATCTGATGGCCGCCGCTTGTGAGCTCTCATCCGTAGGTCGGCTCCCTCCTTCGTTTTCTTCCCTAGCTCCTCTCCCGTGTCGGTTATCCCCTTCCCTATATATGGGTAATGGGTTGGTAGTAGCTCGGTAGAGGGACGAAGAGGAAGAAGATCTGAGCTTGAGCTCTCCTCTGATTTGTGTGATCTCTCTCTTTCTGTGAGTTTTGTGCTCCTGTGGGCTTTGTGCTCTCTACCCCCTTTGTGCGATTTCTTCATCTCTGTGATCGATCAAGGAGCAGATCAGCGGCGAGCTCTCCTTTTGGTCCTTGGTGGTGCACTAGAGAGGAGAACGAGGACTGGTTGAACAGGCTTCTGAGCCAAACAACGACGAGATAAGATCCTTACACAGTGCAAGCACCAAAATGGAAGTTATTTGGGAAGAAAATGCTAGTAGAATTTTCATACTACTCAGTTGCAACATTATGCATTATGACAAGAAAAACTATTTTTGCCCCCATTTATATGCTATCAGAATATTCCCGCAGCATTATTTTCCTCAATTCAGCAAGCAACAAAATCCTAGCATATATTATGTGGTAATGGTGAAAGAATAAATCGTACATCTCCTAGCTTTTGTAGATGACCCAGTCAAGAATTGCACAGGCATTTAAAAAATGAAGCACAATTTCATCATTTATTTCTTTAGCCATGAGCTGTGGAGTAACTGGAGGTTAGTAACTTAGTATTACCTTGTCATGAACCTTGCACAGATTCACCAAAGATACAACTATGTTCACTGACTGAAGAAGTTTTATCAGGACATCTTTTGCAGCTTCCCTTTGGATATTTCCTCTAGATTTCAAAATAACTCCCTTGACCTGAGTAAGAAAGAAAAAGGAAATGATAATAACTTGGTATGTATAATTTATAGAAGCCAGCACGCAAATATGATATGAGTACTCAGACATGTCAGTATCATTCATGCGCACACGAAAGCTCACACAAGCACATAAACATCTATTTGCAGGCACAGATGCTAAATAGCAAAGTAGCAAAGATATGCCAATAGATATGATGCTTACCAACTTGTTTAAAATTTCAAGGTTCTCTTCATGCTGCATGCATATGAAATCTTCATCAGCGTCCAATAAAAGCTAGAGAAACTAGTGTATGGTAGTTTGACAAGATTGAGAGTTTGTACCAATACCCGACACCATGTAAGAAACATGGTAGGACATAGTGTTGGAAATCCATGGGCAGCAGCTTGGGTGTTCTCAGTTTTGCATGAAGGCACCTGAAAAAGAATAGAAAAGATAAGCTGTTGGCCGTAATCAAGATATCCTGTGTTCAGATACTATACAACAAACAATAACTGAGACGAAGTGTATATACTGTAAACAACAGTGGCAAACTTCTTGTTCAAGCGAACAAAATACCATTTATATGGAGAAGGTTTATAAACACAGATGAGGAACCTAATACCTGAGGCAATACTGAGCATGCTAGCTCATCAAGGAGATCAGATGTAGATTCACTGTTTTTCAGATATATTTGGAGTATCTTCTGTACTATGTCACCCTGAAAGATATAAATAGATACTATTATAGAGAAACCATGCTTATATTTAAAACTTGCTAAGAATATCAGAACAATCTATTAGTCATTTACCTTATTTTTTCCTCCGATCTCATTGTCCTCACCAACCCAATTATTCCCAAGTAGTTTGTGGGCAGACAAACCAAGCTTGCTTCTCAGAAAAGGTAAGATTCTCTGGAAGGATCCCCCATACATGTTTTTCCCATTTACATCAGTAGATTTTTCAAGCAACAATGCAATTGAGTTGACAAGCGATTGCATGGTGAATAATACTTCCGCTGCTAGCAAAAATGAGAACGAGCACGCTACACAAGAAACAGATCTTAGAAACACCTCATAACACGTACACTGTATACAAAGAAGATGTAAGGTAATCATCTCGGGTTAAGTCGAGCCATTATACCTGTTTCCAGTACCTCTTCAAGCGATGAATATACGCCACAGTACAAGTAATCCAGGTTCCCAACTGTTGGAAGTGGGTTCAGCCCTGAAACAAAGTTGTCAGGCTTCTCGATTGGCTGGAATGCTTCCAGCATATCCCTGAGAATTGGTTGGTTTGTCTGAAGATATAGTTCCGGAAGGCTTAGCATCTGCACTCAAGAAACAAAGAACTGAACATATAACCCCCCCACAAGTGGTGTAGTGGTGGGGACCTGTGGCGTTGGCTCAAAAGGCCAAGGGTTGATCTGTGTCAAGCCTCCGGGCTTACTTTGTTTGGTATTAAGCCAAGGTTCCTCACACCAAAAAGAAAAAAAAGACAAAAAAGGGAAAAAGGGGTTATAAGACTATTTGCAACAGAGTGCATCTACTAGTATACCTTACTATAGCAGCATAGAACTTCTTTAAAGACAAAAGTAGCAGCTGAAGCTTTTGAAAAGACCAGATTTGGTATATCTGGATTTCCAGCAGCAGTCGACTGAGCTGTCCAATGCTCCTCACAGGTTTCAACTCCTAGAGAAGGTAGGTGGTAACATTGTATAAAAAACAAAAGATATAACTGTGTGGGGATAAAGTCTGTACCATCTTACCATCCCTAAGAACAGAAAATGCACAATATAGATGTTTCTTTATGCTTGGAAATAAAGGTCTAATCTTGCTCAGAAACTCAGATGTTGTCACTCTACAGTACCCAGGCGAGGCCTTCACCGAGCATATAGCTGGAAATTGTTTGCTTGGAGGACTCAAGTAATCCAGCTTGTTGTGGAAATCACGGAGAAGATAAAGATGCAACGGGAGCTAGAACAAAATCTTAGCATCAATCAACTGAACCTTCACAAAGATAAGTAGCACCAATATCCAAGGGTTGAGGGGAATACCTCAGCTGCAGGATCTGAACAACAGGAATCACGACCCTGCAATGAGATCAAATGGAATCAGACTAACATGATTACTTAATGATAAGATAGGAACTTCACCAAATAAAGTAACATAAGTACATCAGCTGATATCAAAAGGTAACTAACAGAGCAAGTAATTCTGCTTATAGACAAAAGAAGATGTGAAAAAGTGAAAGGTGCGGATATAGTTATGTATATTAAAGAAATTATGTCATGTACGATTTGCTTTCTCCAGCCATTGAACTACTGGCTGATATTGATATGTGTCAGACTTACGTTATATTAGATCTTAATTTGGTGCTAGGATCCAGCAGTGGCAGATCCAGGATTTATGAAAAGATGTGTCACTACATAATTAATAATTAAAAATTTTGTAATTTTTGACACGTTTTCGTATTTTGCAATAAGTGCATAATCACATAATTAGTAACACAACCAAATACATTTTTCTCATTATATTATCACTAAGTAATTATTGAGCCAAACATCATTTTTCTCAACTTTCTCAGTTGCTCTTAGAAAAGCTCTTTCCACAATTTCCTAAGCCACATGACATTGCTTTCCAAAATTCGATTGCAATCTCTCTCCTCTACGTAGATTCAATGCATCATTTAGTTCTCATATTCTTTCTTGTCAGTTGTTGCTTTAATTTAATGAATTATTGAATTTAATTTGTCGCTTTAATTTAATGAATTATTGAATTTAAGTAGGAGAACTAGTTTAAAGCTCTGGTTTTTCTACTTAAATTTTAATAGTTTCTAGTTCCAGCTTATTCCAGCTTATACCACAGTAGAATGTCAGTTATTTTCTCCTAAATACTTTATTTGTATTCCAATTATCATTGTTTTCATCTATGTTTCAATTTATTAAGGTAGTTGAACTTAAAATATTTTCTACTTGATTCCTGCTAACAATTGGCTAGTGGCTTTAGAGTGGGTTTGGGTGTTGTCCGGAGGGAACTGCTGTCAAGTGACACCAGTTTCTTAGGGTAGATCCACACCTGGGATCAAGCCAAACTGGTCAATGCCTTCTATATCAGTTAATACCTACTAAAACGTTACAGGCTTATATTGGTCAATACAGACTTATATTAGTCAGTACTTATACTAGTATATGATGATGTGTGATGTTTGAAGCACCAAAAATCAATCTGATACCGGTAGTTGATAAAGAAATAAAGAAATCAACAAATAGAAAGCTTGAAATTATACCAACTCATTCGCTGTACCAGCACTTCTGAATAGAAAAGATGGAAACTGTTAAAACTCTGTATATCAATATCAGTAAAGGTGGACCAGCACCAAGGACAATATTAAGATTTTCAGACTTCAGTTTACTCATTGTACCAAAGCTGCTACAGCATGAAGCAATTTTCCAATGCATGCAGGATGCAGCAGATAATGATCAGCCTCGTACACAATAAGGAACAAAGCAAGAGCACTCACAGCTCAAAATGAGACGCTTGCCAGCAAATGTAGGTTTTGCAAAAAGCTTAGAGAGAACAAAGCGCGATTACAATAATAAAGTAAAATAAATTGGGAAGTTGTGTACACATAAAGCACATCTCTTATAACAAAAATAATATCAGCCCATAAAGGTAGCATAAAAAGATTAGTTTTAGAAGAATGAAATTTAATGAACATTGGAATCGGCATTTAGTTCACATCAACACTTCGTTCCATACATGGCAAGAGCAAAATAGGGGAAAATGTAGCCCAACTGCCTCAAAATGTATAAATAGGTAATATTTGCGAGTTGGGATGTTTTAATACTGAATCCTTTCTCCTTAGGTGATTAACTTCTTTTGATATGTTAGGTAGTTTTGAAATTAGCACCTGCTAATCAGTGGAGGTGAATCGTCTTAAAAGGGGGCTTGATATTGCTACTGACTGGCAACAAGAGAAAGAAAAGAAGAGAAATAGAGAAGCGGAGCAACAATAATGACAAGCATCTGGATCAGCAGTGAGCAATCAACTCTACCCAAAAAACCTCAATTGACAATATGTGGCATACACTATACAAGTGATCTTACCATTTTCAGTCATGAAAGTGGAAAAACCTCGCGCAGAAAGATGATCTTCTTGGAACAACTGAAGAATGAAGCAGAATAATATATTCTAAATTGCATGGTGGAATTTGTAACGAAGACCTCAAATCTGCTGATCTGACATCATATAAGGTTACCACTTGACCCAAAGGATTAAGGTGATAACTAATCCGCAAAAAATGTCTATAAACTAAGAGTAAATTTTACTAGACCCTATAAGTTTGGGCCTTTCGCACTTAAGACCCAAGGAGTTTGAATCTCTCACTAAACCTCCCCAATAAGTTTGGGAATTAGAGAGCACCCAAAATGTTTTTTTTTCCGCTCAACACCCTTTGACTATTTTATGATGTTTATGTGGTAATCTCTATTTGGGAACTCAAATATGGATGTACACCTATGTTGCATGGGTACGGGTATGGGTACTGATATAGGTACCGGTACAGGTACGGGGCATGGCAAATTTGTAAAAGGTAGGGTAGGGTATGGGCACACAACTATATAAATATTTATATACACATATACATATTATTTATTGGAATCAGTAATTTACATTAGACCAATATTGTTTTTATTCACGTGTTATGAGAATTAAAATCCCTATAAGATTTTTATGTTTCTTTTATTTATGTGGATTGTAAATTGGAAAATCACTACTTTTTGAACTAGACATCCAAACGATCCTTTAAAATCAGAGTTCGGAACCTAACCTATGTACAATAAGTTTCTGGAAGTGGATATGAAGTGTAGGATATATGTTCGAAAAATGTACAACAAGTTTTTTAAATGAAAACATGTATTTTATAATTGAGTAGATGCCCGATTTAATATATGCTTATATGCAAGGAGTGCCCAAGGAGTTCGGGTATGGGTATGGGTATGCGTGGGGTACGGGTACGGCACTCAGATAGAAGTTCCTAGGTAACATAGATGTATACTGTTATGAGGGTTAAGTGAAAAAAAAAATCAAATGTTACGGGGGTTTCTCTGAAATTCCCAAACATATTGAGGGTTTAGTGAGCGTTTCAAACTTTTTGGGGATTAAATTCCCAGTGAAATTTACCCTACAAAATAAAGCAGAGAACACATTGAAGAGAAGAGCATAGAGAAAAAGTAGTTAAAGTTGAAAGAGGACGGTACCAAGCAGAGGAAAAAAGAAAAGGAGAAAATAAAACATGTCATTAAGCAGTGAATTTGACTCTTTATGTCACAGGATTGCTTCTTGACTTCTAAAAGATGTATCTTGTCTTGTTCCAACCAGGCAGATGCAACAAGGGACAATGCCAGGTGAAACGCAAACCTGGCACACAGATAAGCCATTAAGTATTATTACACTATCTCACTCAAGTATCTTCTAGGTTGCTCCACCGACATTTTTGTCACTCTGTACATGTGATAAGCAAAGAGAAAACTAATCTACTCTTACCCTTATTAATGCAAACAGTATTTTAACTATAAATCGTTGACATGATTGGAATCATTGTATATATAAGCTACAAGTGTTAGCAACAAGGCGACAGTGGTTAGAAACAGTTTAACCACATTTGAATAGCTCACCATGCCAAAAGTTCAGCACATGATTTGATCACCTGAAAATAGCCAAGACAAACCTACGACAAATGTTCTAGAGAACATAATAAATTTCCTACCATATAACAAATTTTACACCATTTGCTGGTATACAGTTGATGGTAGAAAGCAGAGCAATGAGAATCAGTGTGGATCTCATCACTGTAGACGAGATTGTCTGGTGCTAAACGAGTGGGCATCTAGTATTGATGAGAAAACAAATTGCACAATAACAAGAAAATATAAATTAGGATGAGCAATAGATTTCACCATGTATCCTTCTTGTTTGACAGGTTACAGTTTCATAACAGTATAAATATCCAAATGCGTATTCATACGTTTGGGAGATCTACAGGCTAATTAATGGCATGTATAAATTGGCATCGAACTCCAACAAAAAATAAGCATGGAAAAATTGTACTGGGAGGGATTTGTATAGAATAGGTTTAGTTGCTCGCAGGGATCTAGTCACGGTTGGGGGTTGCAACACATTCTAGACATCCTTTCCGAGTGATCAACTTAGGCATTATAATAGCGAGTATCCCCGTAAAGGATTCCTACTGGGATAAGAAACTTTGATATAACAAAAAACCTCCCTCAGCTCATATACCTACAGTGCAGTTGGTCAGGAATAGAAACCCCGGACATACCTTTTCCAAGAGCCGCAGACATCGTAACATTGACGTGCATACTCCAAAAGAAGGGGCTAATGACCAAGGGGTATCCTTGGTCAAACCCTGGATATCCCCCATTCTGTCCAGGTCTTAGCCCATCTTGAAGGGCGTGTTAACCCCACTCAAGATAGGCTTCTTTGAACCTTTTCCTTGAGAGTTAAAAAGGTATATAAGGAACTTATTTATGGTGTACCCGATGACTTCTGAATCTAAACTGCCTCCCAGAGGATAAGGAATCTAAAAAATAATGTACATAAGCCAAGCTAACTATTAGGTGAAAAGCAAGAAAATTAAAAATTGTAATAGTATTTGAATGGAAATTGTTCTTCAAATTTGGACAATACAAGTCGGAAAAATATCTAGATGGTCAGCTCATGATAATGCCAGGGACCAAGTAATAGAACCACGAGTTAGCTCTTTTCAGTTAAGAAAAGAATTTTTTGATAAAGGACTCAACAAAAGGGCAAAAAGGCTAGAGAACTCAAAAACGATATATGAATCTATGACAATCAGATAAAAATAGTTTATTAAAAGGGCAAAAAGGCAGGGCAAAAATGACATCAGTTTGTTACCGCCATACCTCCATAAAAATTCAAGTATTTACGTGGAAGTTTGCATGACAAACCACGTGTACTCATGATCTATATATAATAATCAGATTAAAAATGCTGCATGGGAACCCGAGCTCCCACAATGAATATGGACCAGCCATAGCTAAATTTCACATCAAATGAAGCAAACATGACAAAATAATGTGGCATTAACATGAAATTGGTTCATATTCATACCTCCGAAAAGGACAACATTGAAAAGCACTCAATGTTTAGAGGCCTGAACTTAAACCGTTGCATGTCGAGGACTTTAAGTTCTGCTGATATATCAATAGGCCCAGCCTCAGTTGAGTCAGTATCCTGATTTTTAATGCTCTGTGATGTCCCTCCGTTAGATGATTGCCCTGACGAACTCTCATTGACTTCCTGGCTTATAACTACTCCTGCTCGTTTAAATGCGCTGATTATAGTAGGTTGCCTTAGCTTTTCATTAGGATTTGATTTTTGTGAGGTCTCAGGATCTTTTTTGCATCTCCTCTTGTTGTCCTGGGAAGTACTCTCAGACACCATTCTTTCACTGCTCCTCTTTTCCCTTTGCATTGAGCGATTAGCCCTGAGAAAAGAGTCCGGAGGTTTCGTGAAATTGTGGAGCTCAGGAAGAGAGAGAGGATAATCCTGGAGGCATGCATTGAGCAAACACTCCATTAAACTGCAAGAACCAGAACTTACTCATTAGAAAATCAACATTTCCCCAGGACTCATTTAGATGTTAACGTGATCCCAATATTTAGAAATAATAACAATAAAGCATGTGAGCTGAACTCGAAATTTAATTTAAGACTCAACTTAAGCAATATGGAACTAGATTTTAGGGTTTTCTACATAATAGAAAACATTTTGCAATAGCATAGATGTAAATGAGAGAAGAGAAGTTCATTAATAAACGTACAGTAACACAATGGTATATCCAAAACAAAATATCAAGCCAAACTATTGCAGTATTTCCAATTCGTACACAAAACGGAAGACATGAAAAAAGATGAAACGAGATCACAGCGAAGTCTAATTTTAGAGTTCAAATCCAAACCACTGATAAACTTTTTGCTGCACAATAAACAAAATCCCAGAATAAGACGGATATTGAACAGAATTTAGAGTAAACGAAAGTGACTGCCAAAATGGTAACCACTTGAGAAAAGATCGTATTTAGTCCAAATCCAAGCAAAGATCACTCTGTAACTGAAAACTTGTGTAAGAAAATCAAGAAATGACAATATAGTAGATTTTGAAGGAAAAAGTTGATAATAGCGAAGTCACTTGATGCTTACAGAAATAGCAAAACTATAGATAACTCCATCTAGTATATTTGCATGTTAAATGCTAAGTTACTATTGGAGTTCCAATAATGGTTATTATGAATACAAGAAGTAACTCACACTAGATTTCTCAGACGCTTCAATAGTTTTATCATTGTCTCATTTCTAGTAGTCTGAGTTATGCAATCAACTCTGCCAACGACTTGAGTTATAAATGCATTAAGCTGCAAAGTTACATAACTATTAGGTGAAAAAATAGAATTAATAGGGCAAGGGTCCTTTTCAAACAATAAAACACTACTAAAGTCACATATACCAATTCTCTTGTCCAGTTTATTGCAAAATGGAGTGAAAAGCAAACTATCTGTTTCTGCAGTCCCATCAGATTCTTCCAGTGGCCTCCGATTAAATACTGCTTTCAGCATACAGACATCTTAAGACAAATCAAAAGTGCAGTAAATTTAAAGCTGGAAAATACCTGATTAGGAAGAAAAACCAAAGGGCAAGGTACTGTATTATCAGAGCCAGTAGGAACATTAAACAGTCTTAATTATCATTAAAAAATCATTTCAAGAAAAAAGAATGTCCATGGTATGAACTGCAGATTGGAATGATACCCTGCAAAAAGATAACGTTTGCACATACACGTGTGCAGGGGATGAGAAAATATTTGCGTGTGGTGGTCTGGTGTGCATTGTGTGTTTTAAACCTGTTTAAATTGCAGGTTGCATACATGTCTGCATGCAGCCGACCCCAAACATTTGGGATAGAGGCTTTGTTGTTGTTGTTGTATACATGGCTGCATGCCTATGTATGTATGTACATATGTATGTGTACATTTATATGTATATTGTATGTAGTTATGCATATATGTATCACTGTGTGTAAATACATTACAAATTGCTGAAAAGGAAAATGTTATGCCTTATCTACTAGGAATGCCAAAAGAACTTAAAATTGAGAATCCCAAGTGAGAACATACAATTAAACATTGGCCAAATAAAGGTTGCATAAAGCATCAGGACATAGTGAATGGGCACAAAATACAGTCTCAAAATTAGGAGACATGATTTATGCTGAGAGTATTAGGGGGAAATTTTACTCGTCAAACTCCTCAGGGTTTGCCACTTGAATCGGGGGATCTAAAACAGATAAAAAATTGTATAATCATTGATTTCTGCACCATTTACACTAGCTTGGGAATGTGTCATATTAGCATATAAACTTTTTCCCTGATGTATTTCTTCACCTTTCGGGATATTATCCTTTGTTGGATACATGCAACTACATTTTTTATACATATAAACTATAACAATGTCACACCTTCTAGTGAATATCTTCTATTACTGACCATCATGTACTTTATATATGATATATATTATATATATAGTATATTATATATATATATATATATATTATATATATATTATATTATTATATATATATATTCAGTTCCATGATGAGTCTTGGAGGATTTAGATGTCTTAAGTTAATTGAAAATTGGACAGATAATAAGGTCTCCGTCCGAAAGGAGGCTAAGTAGAAGGTCCACGATACAGGAAACACATCAGGTTTAAAAGCAAATCCGCAAAGCCAAGATCAACAGGATGGGAGTAAGTATGTCAATTGGATTTATGTTATCAAGACTTAAGAGAATTTGAATAATCTCACAGCCATGACCCGAAATATGCAAATAAACTATACTCATAGACCTGAGATTGTTATCTCATTAGAAATTGTCCCAATCATAAGCAAAATAAATTTGTGTTAATTATTCAATCTATATACCATGCACCGTACCTTAGGAGATGGAAGGTGTAAAGGACAGCCGAGAAGCGCATCAATTCCACCAAGAGAACCTTGATTTGTTAATCTTTCAATCTTTTAGATAAAGGAAGCAATTAAGTACATTCTCAATATTTTCGTGACTACAACAAAAGAGTAAAAATACAATATACTCACAGCAGATAATAATAAAAATTCGCAAGGAAGAATCTGTAATGAGGAAGAACACCTGAAAACAAGAAACTCAGCATTTCGGGAGAGCCTATTAGGACATATGACCTATAGCATAAGCTTAGATCAAATTTAATTTGAAGAACATTCTAGGATAGAACACTAACATCTGCGAAGGAGCAGAAAGTAACGGCAGGATATTCAAGCAGATAGGAGAAAGATCACCATCCAAGTTCATCCACAAGTCCCCTAGAAGATAAAAGTAATTATTTGCCTTCTTTACCAAAAGAGAAAGTAAAATATGATGATAAAAATAAGACTCCAGAAGTTTCTGCAAACAAACCTTTTATACCACTAGATGTGTCCTTCAAGGGCAGTGTTCCTTCCTCAAGATCACACAAAAACAGTGACTCAAATTCACCGACATGCTTACCAATCCTAAAAGCACAATTGTCCATAAAAGAAGGATTAACCTTCCCGAGTAATATCTAACTATTATGCAAATCAAGTAAAAACTTGCAACTAAAATAAATATCTAAGGAAACTGAATAAGGCAGTTATCACTCTTTAATTACTTGGACCTAAAAGCTACCCACCATTCGATAATCGCAGGCTGAAAAGTCTTGCATTCCAATAAAACAATCAGTTCATCATGTAGTAGTATCAACAGCAATGTCGTTTTCTCGCAAGAGTCTAAAGACATTTTCAATAGCTCCAAAGCCTCTTGACAATTTGATTTCTGTGTAGGAATAAAGTAAACAGTTAAAAGCATGTAAGAATGTTGTTAAAGCATATATGAGTGAAAATGGCTAAAAGCATATAACCATAAAAAATCATCATCATTGATGGCATCTTCATCATCATCCAAGACTTCTTGCATCTAGATTTGACAATGAAGGAGGCCCCACAAAATAATGAGCACTTTTCATGATTGGTAAACATCAGTCAATTGAATTCTTATCAATATTGTACCCCAAAAAATGGATTGGAGTGCAAATTTTTGCAAAACAAGGGAGTTTAGGTGTATTGAATAAGTTTTCCCATTGAAATATATTTTTCAGGGAGATGTCATTTACAGGGTTAAACCATATCAGCAACTAGTCTTGTAGTAGCTTATAAAATTATAATAATTCGGAAATAACATGATCATTAACAACAACGTTGGAATGCTCATACATCCATTACTTAAACCCAACCTGAGACGATGAGAAAGTAGCAGCAGCATTTATATCCCCAAGTGTGGACACTATCTTTAAAGTTCCAATTATCCCCATCTTTCTGTATTTCATATCTGAATTGCTGACCTAAAGGCAAAAGGGAGAATATTAGAAAATGTAGGGCTAGCAAATGAGAGGGAAACAAATCTATCTGCTTCTGTCCAATTATGAAGGTATCATTCTTTGCATATGCCCTCACCTGCTTCCTAATGATCATCAATAGTTCATTTGCAATGGAAGAACTGTTGGAATCAGGACAAGAGCGAGCAGACAATGCCAAACGGCAGAAGATTTCATATACCTACAAATCATAGTACTTATAAGCTAAATTAAAGCATACAAGTTGGCAAGAGCATAAGTATAGGTAAGAACCTTGTGCAGACTTTCTTCGTGGAAACCTTCCAAGTAGTCCAAGATTCCTGAACCAAGAAAAGGGAGAAGTGAAGAGTGATGATGTATTTAGCCCATAATGCAGGGCATAAAGCTCAGAAAGTATGGAGCCCATTGTGCATACCATTTATGTGAGAAGAGAGTGGGAGTAGCTCCTCTGAATACTTTGATGTCAAAAGATTTAAAGTATCCAAAGCAGAACTGACTTCAAAAGCAATCGCAGAACCAATATGTGTGACTAGCGCACCAAGGATCTGATAATACACATTACAAGTTTTAAAGTGGAAGTGCATGACAACTACGTCACAGGAACATCTTTCTTATAAGGTGTACAACTACAAAAAAAAAGATCAGCTTATCTTAATTTTCATGGTGACAAACTAGGGGAAGTCCCTAAATATTGGTTCTAAGTAAATTCTCTTTTTCAGTTTTCTTCAACAGATAGTTATCAACATTATGAATTAAAGTCAGCGTTTTTTTGTATTCCAAGAGTCGTGTTACTTTGGTTGAATTTATGGAATACATACTTCTTGCCTTGGATAGGTATCACTGAATTCTTCAAACAGCAACTTGTAGAGGTAAATACCAAAATCTCGTGCTTCTTTATCTTTGCATGATAATAGGCACTCACAGACAGAGAGAAATGATGGAAAATAATCCTGCATGGAGCAAGGATATAAGGCCTAAATGTCGCAATCCAATTTAGAAAAAACAAATGCCATTCAGATTGCGGTAAGTACCATGTAATCATGCAAAGCATTACCTTTACTAATTCCCGCTGGCCATAAATACATTGATCAAAGAGAGTTTCACGAAAACAACCATCCATTATTTTCTTCTTCAACATTTTCTCTGCATGCTTCTGCAGGGAGCCTCCGTTTGTATATATTAGAATTAGAAACCACACGTCAATGACTTTGTGATCACGTGGTTGGTTGAGGGACTTCAGTTCTTTTAAGATAGCTTCACATAGAATCTGTAATAAAAGTGAGTCGCAGGTGACAAGCAATCCAATAATTCATGTTCAAGTAGGTAGCAGAAAATGATAAGAGAGAATACTTCTTTGTCTATTTCATTACAACTTTATCAAGTAGCTTTCAGATTCATATTATAAAAACAAGGTTATGAAAATCCATGTAGAGTTTACATCACACTATCTACCTTTGAAGCAAAAAAAAAAGTGTTCATGGGCTTCAAATTGTTGGTTTGTTATCCGCAATCATTTGACAATTACGAGATTTTGGCTCTAATAAAAAATTAGTCACTTACACTTTGCTTTGAAAAATAACATATCGTATCAAAACCACTTGTTGACATCAGTGATTCACAGTTTCTACCAGATTATCAAAAGGATGCTCTCTTAGGTATTTTGAAAATCAGTTTAAAAGAATTAATACTCATCGAATTCATGTGCTTGCATGTATGTAAAAGAACTATATAACTTACATTCTTAAACCGGAGGCTCGATCTTAAAGCATCAAGGATAGAAGCCTCGGTACTATTGGCCAATGATTTTCCTTTTAATTTTTTGTGCTTGGAAACACAAGGATCACTCACTCCCACGAATTTCAACTGCTCACGTATTCGTAGAATTATCCTCCCAACATTTGCAGGAGTCGCTGATAAGAGCAGAAATCTAAGCAAATGGGGCATGTGCTCTGCATCAACTGTTCTAATACATGATAATGCTATCGTCACAGCCTTCAAAAACACAACAAATATTCATCATACCAACAAATAGTCATAATAACTGTCAAGCCGAAGTTCGATTAATCTATACTAATGTCTGTACTAGTCTAACGAAAAACCTGCCCCTAGTTGTACGAATGCCTCTCATGTCAGCCGTAAATTATCATGTGTCTTTCTAGATACCATGCTATTATCCATACCTAACTCATTTGTTAAAATGGTTGTTTACATTAATTTTTTACTTTCAAATATGAAAACGACACTACAGGGGTATTCATATTAAATTGAGTATTTAGCAATCATAATATTATCATAATATGTGTGCCACAACAATAATACTTCTCATGCATTGCATGGGTAACAAACTAGTTCTGAACTATCTTACTTTACTTCCCTTGAAACATGACAACTAAAATGGTTTGAGAAAAAAAAACATTTGAAACCTGTTCTTGGAGCTGATCATCCAAGTTAAGATTAGAGAACGAATCGAGCACTGGCACAATAACCTCAGAATCCTCTTGCAGCAGCTTCTCCAGAGCAGCAACCACTGTACTACTATTCTGATCACCAATAATCTCCGGAAGAGACCCAATGATCTCCTTTTTCAGCTGAAGTGGAGAGATTGAAAGAACCTCCATCAGCTTCTCAGTGAAACCTACAGAATCCACGATAAAGTCCAGCCACCGGAACTGATTAATGACAAGCCTGGCCACGTCATCGGTCAGGTTGAGAGATGGTGGAGAATCAAAGTGTTCTGGAAGTTTCTCAAGCAATATCTGCTGGATCTGCGCTTGGATGGGACCGACAAGGAGCAGTAACCGCACCAGGCTCTCCCCTTTCGCCGATCCACCACTGATCGAGGCCGGAATCAAAACCCTAAACAGAAAGAAAGGAAAAAAAGTTTTCACTTAAATCTTTCATACTTTAAATTAGTCCCTTGAGTAACTGAAGCTGTTATTTAATAGCTTAGTTTCAAACTACATCATTAGACTTAACGGATTTCAGACACTACACACCATTTCCAAATATTTGAGGGACTAACTTGTAAAAAAAACAGGAGAAAACGTGATCCTAATTTGCTTGAGTTGGAAATAAAGCGAGAAAACCGTTACCTCTTTAGGTTTTGAGGGTTTTGGATGTAGGAACTGAAGCCGGAGACGAATCGAGAGAGGATCGAGGGGTCGGAGGAGAATCGAGTCTCGAGGCTTCGCCGGAGCTTGTGA